AGTCTTGAAAGACCTTCATTGGCTCCCAGTACATTTCCGAGCACAATTCAAAGTGTTGGTGCTGACCTTTAAAGCCTTAAACGTCCTTGGCCCAGTATACCTGAAGGAGCATCTGCACCTCCATCGTTGGCCCGGACACTGAGGTCCAGCGCCAAGGGCCTTCTGGTGGTTCCCTCACTGCGAGAAGCAAAGCTACAGGGAACCAGGCAGAGGGCCTTCTCAGTAGTGGCTCCCACCCTGTGGAGCACCCTCCCATCAGATGTCAAAGGAATAAACAACTGTCTGACGTTTAGAAAACATCTGAAGGCAGCTCTGTTTAGGGAAGTTTTTAAATGACTGGTGTTTTAATGTATTTTTAATCTCCTGTTGGAAGCTGCCCAAAGTGGCTGGGGAGAGCCAGCCAGATGCACGGGGTATAAGTAATAAATTATTATTATATCATCACCACCAGCTTGGTTCCCTTTACAATGTGCTGCTGCTGCCCACCACAATACACATTTGGGCCTGAAGAGATATGGGAAAGGGAATGACTGGAAACAGTAGTGCCCACCCCACTGGCCAGATGTCCATCAACAGTACCTTGCTGGGAGCACACTGAGGTCTGCCACAAACCCTGGGAACACAAACAGCTTCTGACAATGCAAACAGAGAACAGCTTAATGCTAAGAAGAGCTCTGCCAGATCAGACTAAATTCCAGTCACATGTCTAGGGGAAGCCCACAAGCAGAACAAAAAAGTAACTTATACACCCCAGCAACTGGTATTCAGAAACATGCTGCTTCCAGTGCTGGAGGTAGTACACAACTATCATGGATAGTAGCTATTGATAGCTTTATTCTCCATGAATGTCTTCATCCCCTCCCTCAAAGTCACCCAAGCTGGTGGTCATCCCATTGTCCGGAGTGGTGACTTTCTGGATCACATTGAGAAGCTGTTTTTAAATGTCTGCAGCGACTGAAGTGAGATCTGCTCATGGAAATCAATGGAGAAATCCAAGACTCATGTAGTTCAGTACTGTACCCCATTGAAAGTAGGAGGGCTCTACTGAGGGGGAAAAAAGTTCTCAACACTGCAGTGTAGGCACTGTTAACACTGCAGGATAGAGGAAGGCTGGTGTTTCATTGTGCTTTTAATATTTTGTTGGGAGCTGTCCAGAGTGGCTGGGGCAATCCAGTGAGATGGGAGGCATATACCGTAAATATTATCATCACCATCATTATTAAAATTGGCCCCTCGTGCCTTCTCCCAGACTAAATCAAGCACTTGATTGAGGATGCCTTGTGGTCCATTGACCTGCATACAGTCTGGTTGCATTATTTGAATGTTCAAACCTAAATTAAATAAATTGTGCACATGAAGTAATAAGCCAGCTATAGCACAGATACCATCCTTTGATGCTTACATTTGCTTTTGCTTTTCAACTCCCGCCCTGCTCAGGTAACACATGATAGTGATGTACTGCAACATTTTGTTGCAGGATCTCACATGCCTATTCTATTTCTAAATTTCACCTGTCTAACTTCTCTGTTTTCCCATTTGACTTATATATAATATTTTCACTCCTCCATCCAATCTTTTAGCCTATCAGAAGGACAGTAGAATCCTGGGTAAGTTTCTATTTCTGCTTAATTGCCAGATTCCTAGGCTGAAACTCTGATCCTCCTTTGCAGAAGTTGTTCCTGTTTTGATCTTCTTGTGAAACTCTGACCTTTTTGTGCAGAAGAACCTTTAAATTATGAAGGAACAATTTTATTTAAAAGTATGGAGCATAAATTGGTGGAACAGGTCCCTTTATTCACAAATTCCATAAGGCATCAAAGACAAAGTATGCTTAGAAACAGGAAGAAAAAACCACTGATAAATGAATGGGAGGGAGAATGGAATGGAATCGCAGGAAAGAGAGGAAGGGACACACAGAGATAAAAAGGGAGCAGAGAGAACCATCTATTCTGGATAGGTCATTTCCTGCTTCACAGAAGCTACTTTCAAATGCCTGGATGGAAGTGAGAACCTCCCATATTAAATAATAGAGAGTTATATAAATTGCACTTCAGGTTGAACTCCAGTTTGTCCGTCATCGCGTGCGCGTGCATGCGCGCGCGCACACACACACACACACGGCAGAAACAAAGATAAGTGTTCCTGCTCTTTCTACCTTAGTGTGAATATGTTGCCAGAAAATTTGCTACTGCAAATGGCCATGCAAAACTATCCCATTCTTAGCCCCTTTCTGAATGTAGCAACTGTGCCTATCTCTGGACCATCAAGTCCCCTCTGCCCATGAACTGTGATCTGTTAGCAGCTCCATACTTTTAGTAATAATAATTTTATAATAATTTATTATTTATACCCCGCCCATCTGGCTGGGTTTCCCCAGCCACTCTGAGTGGCTCCCAACAGAATATTAAAAACAGAATGAAACATCAAATATTAAAAACTTCCCTAAACAAGGCTGCCTTTTAGGTTGTTGTTGTTTTCAATCAATTTCTTTCTTTCTTTCTTTTCTTTCTTTCTTTCTTTCTCTCTCTCTTTCGACATAAATTTTTATTGCTTTTCACAGGTTTTACAAATCTACCTCTATTTCAATAGTTGTTTTTTATAAAAAATTGACTTCCCACCCTTACTTCCACAATTTCATTCCTACCTTATTCCTACTGTTCTATATGACATACTTTAATCTATTACAACTATCCTCTATTTCACTTATCATGGTTTTCATTCCGCTGCTCATAATTTGAACCCTGTCCATGTTTTCATTTGACTATAACAGTTCTTCAAATACTCCAAAAAGGGTCTTCACCCTTCCATGAACAGTTCATCTTTCATCTCTTATGTTTGCTGTCAACTTCGCCATTTCCTCATAGCCCATTAACTTTTGAAGCCATTTCTCCTTAGTTGGTACTTCTCCTTCTTTCCATTTCTGTGGGTACAGGATTATGGTTGCTGCTGTTGCATGCATAAATAGTTTAAACATCTTTTTTCAGGACCTCCCTCTAGGAGAAAAACTTCAGGACTTTTGGGAAGTTTTAAATCAATTTCCATAACAAATGCAACAGTTCCACACAGGAAGACAGAATCAGGTAGCTTAAAATGCACCAGTTAGTTATCAGAGAGCTACAATAGGTATTTTAACATGGTTTTCTATTATTTTGCAGGCAAGTCTGTTAATTGTATCACATATAACTGTTTTCCCACATCCATCAAGGAGGTCTAAATATTTTGACCGTCATATAACAAGCTCTGGATCTTTGAGATTCAGTGCTGTGCCTTCCAGATTCTATAAGAGCTAGGAGCAAAACACAAAGTTCTATTTAAGGCTGGAATTCAGGGTGCCTCAAAGCTGGCAAGTGAAGAAGTTTCTAATTTCATTTAATAATGTTGTAGGTGTCTGGGGAAAGGAAATTGGCAACCACAATACAATGTGATCAATTGATTTAAGGAAAATGGAACCTTCTGTGACATAATGACCTTTGCAAAGCCCTGGATTATCATGCCTGATGGATATAATTAACTCTTTGGAAATCTGCAAAAAGTCATGACCAATGTATTTTAAACATTATTTATGAGCCACTGGTGGTGAATTAATGCAGTATAACGATTTCTGCAAAACCCACAGAACTGTTGATTTTGTTCCATTAAAACTCAAATTGTGGTTGCATATTATAGCAACACAAAAGTGGTTTTTCCACCTGTATTGCACTTAAGAAGGTTGTACTGCCAAGCATAGAAATATAATTGAAATATTAGTTACTTGAATAAGTTTTCCTTAGAGAATTTTGGCTCTCTTTTCTATTTAATGTTAATATAATTGGGGGTACTGAACTCTTTTGTCCAAATTTTTCTTAGCCACAAAGTAAAAGTTGTGTACGGCAGTGTTTTAATTGTGTGTTGCTTTAACAGGGCGCAAATGTATTACTTGGTTAACAAGTACAATTCTGAAAATTAACTTTTCTCTCTGAAACAGATCACAAGCAACATTTCTCTTCATTCTTGCTGTTTAAAGATGCTTATACTAGGCTTTTTTCTTTAAAAATAAAAGCACAGTGCTTCTATATCTTTGACATGAATCCTGTTCACACATACCTGGGAGTAAGTCCCATTGAAATAAAATATTGTAGCTTTTTGCACTGACACCATCATTAATAAATTGAGTGTAAAGAATTTACTGCCAAGAATGAATTGTGAGATAATATAGTAGCTGCAATCATTTGCTGGAATTAATGCCAGAGAATTGTATATGAGCACATGTTATTTCCCTCTAAACAAATGAAAAGTAATTATTTCCATTAGTTTCAACTTTTTCTTAAAATATTGCTTCTCACATTTTAGTCCAGGAGCTATGTAAAGATTTAAGGAGTCTGAGTCAAGCTAGAAAAAGGGGTGGGGGAATGAAATACCCTAAATAATATGGTTACTTGGTAAAACAGTACATTGCGCTTGGATCAGCAGAATATTATAGGTGACACATTTTTCATGTTTCTTTTATTGAATTTGTAGCCTAGTTCATCCAAAAGCTTCAGAGTTGATAGCAATATTGTGTTGGGAAGCTGAAGTACAAGCCAGTTATAAGAAACAAATTAAATTTATTAAATGGGATACCAGCTTCATAGAAGAATTGGGCTTTGAGGAGGCATTGTTCATATTAATTTGTGGTTTTCACTGCCCCAAGCTGTGGTGAAGGTCACTCACTTAGGCTGCAATCCTGTACACACCTGCCTGGGAATAAGTACCATTGAACTCAGTGGGACTTCCTTCTTAATTGAATTTCACTGTTTGGTGGCTTTAAAAAGGGACCAGACAATGCATCAGACAATTATTAACAGATATTGGCCAGGATAGCTATATAGAACCTCTATGTTCTCTGAATAGCAAATTCTGGAGAAAAGCAATGGGGTGTGTGTGTGACAAGAGCGATGCCTTCAGGCCTTAGAATCACAGAGCTGTAGAGTTGGAAGAGACCCTGAGGATCATCTAGTCCAACTCCCTGCAATGCAGGAATATGCAGCTGACCCACAGGAATAGAACCTGCAACCTTGGTGTTATCAGCACCATGCTCTAGCCAACTGAGCTATCCAGGCTTCACAAGAAAATTATCTTGTTTGCTTTTCATTGGGCAACAGTGTTGGACCAGATGGACTCTTGGGTCTGATCCAACCATAGCTCAGCAGAAGGGCAACTGTTTTGTGTGCAGAAGGTCCCAAGTCCAATCCCTGGCATCTCCTGGTAGGGATGGGCATGTCACCTGTCTGAAAGCCTGGAGAACTGTTGTCAGTCATTGTAGACCAGTGGTTGCCACTGAATAGGTTGCACTGTGCTTGTTCCTCTAGTTTGCGAATAGGCCCCAAAATGTCAGCAAACAACACTGAGCTAGCTAGGTAGACCAATGGTCAGTCTCAGTACAAGGAGGAAAAAGATGACACCACACAGGTATTAAGTTCCAGGCATAGGAGGCAGCAAGATAAATGGGGTAAACAGGCCCTTTATCATCTGGCGGTAATACAATAGTTGACCAGCACACCAAGCAGGCCAGCAGGAACCTTCAGTTACTTAACATCATGGGATTTCATGTTGACATGTTCAACCTCTTCCTTCGTCACCATTGCACTAGGATAAAACTCAGGTTAGCTGGGCACACCAGAAGGCCCAGTGCATGAAATAATTCTGAATCACCACTGGCTAAAATGACATAATCATGTGGACAAATCCATTCTGCAACCTTGGAGAGTGGTATGAAATTAGCCCACCAGGTCAAAGCTTTTCAATCTCTACTAGTTGAAAGCTGCTCCTGGCTCCCATCGATCCCAACCCTTGAGCCAGTGCCACCAACTGGACTCATCCACTTCAGCCCCGACTGGGCTAGGCGAGCTGGGTAGCACTTCCAGAGACCACCTTCTGCATAGGAACAGGTCAAAGTGCTGTGGACTCACAGCTTAGAGTTGTGAGCACCGGATTCACTCCACCAAGAAGACAGTCGTCACACAGCAGAGTACAGCAGAGTATATAAACAACTCGGAGAGCAGCTCTGTAGAATATCTTCTTTATTCTATCTACAACTATAATACAACTATATACAGAGCTTAATAGGTCTAAGCATAAATGAATGCTGCACTGCACTGAGTGTCTGCAGCTGCTCTTAGCAGCAACCTTATCTCTACACATGATCTCTAACACTCAGTCTCTCTCTCTCTCTCTCTCCCCCCGACACTGACTGACTGACTGACTGACTCTCTGCTGGAGCAGAATAAGAAGAGAGCAGAACATGCCTCTTCCTCTCTGGAGAATCAGCAGACTCCTCAGGAGATTCTTGGATATGGGAGGGGTGAAATCTCCTCACATGGCCAATGGTCAGGGATGATGGGAGTGTCACATTTTGAGAACTAAATAAATAAAATGTAGCCACTGGCTGAGGGCAAACTGAAATCAGTGGGGCAGGGCCCATCTGCCCTAATGGACCAACCTCCATTGCCTTGGTACTTTCCTGGGCCAGTATGCTCTCACCCTTGCTCTCCAAATCAAAAGCCACAATTACCCTCCCTTCTTGTAAACGTCATTAAAGCTCAGGAAGTTAGCACACACACTTCAGAAGACCCGGCTATTCCTTTCAACTTCATTTAAAGCACATTCGAAGCATGTTCCTTCCCTCAAAGAATTCCAGGCACCCCAAAGCCTTTCTTTCAGGAATTCTAGGTGCCGAAATCCCAATGGAGCAGAAAAGATTGTTTATGTATGCGACCATGGCTGTGTGGATGTTATTGGCCCAGAGATGGAAAGAAGATAAAGTCCCGACCAGAGGAAAACGGCAGATTAAATTGATGGATTATGCCGAAATGGCAAAAATGACCGGAAGAATCGGAAATCAGGAAGACCAAAATTTTAATAAGGAATTGGGGGGGGGGAATTATAATTTATCTTAAACATCATTGTAAACAATTAAAATCGTTAGTTGGATTGGAGTAACACTTGTAGTTTAATGGTGAATTTTGGATATAATTGAGATGTAAAAGATTTGGATTTTTATAAAAGATGCAGGAGAAGTCCAGGAGATTCTATGGAATCTTGTTTTATGACGTGTGTTGGCTATGTGATTGTAAAACTTTAAATTGAAAAACCAAATAAATAAACTTACAAAAATAAAATAAAATAAATAAAAATCCGGGTGCTGCACTTGTTGTGGGTGTTCAGTGCCCAGCAATCCCCTGCAACCCACAAGGTCCGGAATTCTTGGAGGGGAAGAATGTGCTTTGAGGTCAGACGTGCAAGAAACGCACATGCAGCTGGACAACGAAAAGGGCTGATAAAACAGGCGCTGGATATCCGTGCCTGGCTTGCCTTCTCGTTAGGTGTGGGGGGTTTTTTTTGCTAATTTTAAACTGCTGCTGAGCGCGTGAGGAAAAAGCTATATATATTAGGATCAGGACCGTGGCAGGAAGAAGAGGCACAACAGTTCCCTCTCCTTTCCCCGTTTGGCAAAACCGGCGACCCCGAAGCTCCAAACCCACGCGGTTTGGGGCAGGGGTTGGGGGGCTGGGAGAGCAGGCTGGACTTAGCAGGTGGATACAAAAGTTGGGAAGAAGGGGGAGGAGGGCGCGAAACGTGACTGTGCTCAGCGAGTCCGGCATCTGCAGATAATCCCGCTTCTCCCGGCGTCCCTCCCTCCCCACCCCCGTTGATTGGATGGGTCCGCGGGGCGACGGCGTGGGGGGGGGGCGGAGAGGGAGTCGGACGTGGAGGCCCCGGAGGAAAGGAGGCGCTTTGCAACAGATGGTTCAAGGTATTCTCTCCTCCGGCGCGTCCCGCGCGCGCTCTCTGGCTGGCTGGCTGGCCGGGAGCCCCCCGCGCAGCGCAGGCCGGCAGGGAGGGCGGGAGCGAGTCCAAGAAGCAGCTGTGTGGTCCTGCAGGGCGCGGGCGCCGCTTCGCATTGCCTTGCCCGCGCCTCGGCTCGCGCGGACCTTCGCTTCGGGCTGAGGGGGCGCCCATGCCGCTCGCTCGGGCTCTGTTGCCGGGCCAAGCGCCGCCGGCCCCGCCTCCGTCTCCGCTCGCGTCCACTTAAGTCGGCGAGTCAAACAAGCGCCGCCTTGGCCCGGCTGCGAGAGGAACTCGCCCGCTCGCCGGCGGGGAGGGGGCCGCCTGAGGTAAGTTCATTGGCTCGGCGGGATGGGAGGAAACCCCGCGCCCTCGCTGCCGCTGTCTGGTCCTCGCTTCGGAAATATGACCTTGTTTCTGCGCTTGAGGCACCGAGGCCGGGATAGGCGCGCTGCTGCTGCTGCTGCTGCTTTCTCCTCCTCCTCCAAAACAGTGGGGTGAGAGAAGGCCAAATCTTCGCTTCCCGCCTCTCGGCACGCTGTGGTGCCTTTTTTAGACGAGGTTCAGGAGAAATGCTGAGAAAGACCTGGCTTTTCCTGGCCAGCTCTCCTCCAGGCAGGTTCCCCTTCGAGGTCTTGTTGTTGTTGTTTAGTCGTTTAGTCATGTCCGACTCTTCGTGACCCCATGGACCAGAGCACGCCAGGCACTCCTGTCTTCTGCTGCCTCCCGCAGTTTGGTCAAACTCATGCTGGTAGCTTCGAGAACACTGTCCAACCATCTCGTCCTCTGTCGTCCCCTTCTCCTTGTGCCCTCCATCTTTCCCAACATCAGGGTCTTTTCCAGGGAGTCTTCTCTTCTCATGAGGTGGCCAAAGTATTGGAGTCTCAGCTTCAGGATCTGTCCTTCCAGTGAGCACTCAGGGCTGATTTCCTTCAGAATGGATAGGTTTGATCTTCTTGCAGTCCATGGGACTCTCAAGAGTCTCCTCCAGCACCATAATTCAAAAGCATCAATTCTTCGGTGATCAGCCTTCTTTACGGTCCAGCTCTCACTTCCATACATCACCACTGGGGAAACCATAACTTTAACTATACAGACCTTTGTTGGCAGGGTGATGTCTCTGCTTTTTAAGATGCTGTCTAGGTTTATCATCGCTTTTCTCCCAAGAAGCAGGCATCTTTTAATTTTGTGACTGCTGTCACCATCTGTAGTGATCATGGAACCCAAGAAATTAAAAACTCTCACAGCCTCCATTTCTTCCCCTTCTATTTGCCAGGAGGTGATCGACCCAGTGGCCATGATCTTAGTTTTTTTGATGCTGAGCTTCAACATGTTGAGCTTCAACATGATGTTGTGCTCTCCTCTTTCACCCTCATTAAAAGGTTCTTTAATTCCTCCTCACTTTCTGCCATCAAGGTTGTGTCATCTGCATATCTGAGGTTGTTGATATTTCTTCTGGCAATCTTAATTCCAGTTTGGGATTCATCCAGCTCAGCCTTTCGCATGATGAATTCTGCATATAAGTTAAATAAGCAGGGAGACAATATACAGCCTTCGAGGTCTTAAGCAGCAGAAATCCATCAATGCTTCCTCGGAAGTCAGACCCATTGCTTTCCAGCTTCCTCTCCAGTCAGGAGAGTATAGGATTGCACCCTTGGTTGACACTGCTCCCCAACTGTTGTATCAGGACATTGTAGGCAGGTCTCCATCCTCCTCATTGTCTTATTAATGTGAAGGGAATTTGAATTAATATTTTTTTAAAAAGATGCAGAAGCCCATGCAGAGTGGTTTTTGCCAGCCTCCTGTCGTGTCAGTATTTGGCAGGTTTGAATCCTGGTTGCAGCCCGTACACCATACCATTTGAGATGTTGTTCTGTCACAATCTATTGAGACTTGTATATATGCTGCAGACTGCATCAACAGGTGCAGGTAAATTCATTGTGATTGTGGTTGTTCCCTGTGAGCTGTCACTAAGCATTGGGAACCCAGTGTGCTTGAGATAGAGAAATGGCTTTCAGCCAGCAGGGATTGAAAAGCATTGACCCAGCACACAGGTTAGTTTCATATACCCTCCAAGGTTGCTGAATGGATTTGCCCATATGATAAGATAATTTTAGCCAGTGGTGATTAAGGGTAGATTGTGAGCATCAGGTTTGTCCAGCTAACCTGAGTTGCATCCTAGTGTGCTGTATGGAGTCAAGACCTTGAGCATGTCAATATGACACTGTTCCACCAAGTCAAGAAACCTATGGGTTCCCACAGATCTGGGTGTGAT